CTTGCAAAGTGTCTAGAGACCATAGACCTTAATCTGTGATTAACTTAGTTGTCAGTGCCCTTAAAAATTTTAATTTTAAGAACCGTCTTCATATTTGCTGAAAAAAGCTGTTATGAATCATCCTCTTATGAATCATTAAATAACTCTGAAGTTTGTTAGATTAATTATCCTTCCTGTGTGGCTGATGCGGTCATCGCCAGCATATGACGGCAATATGCATACAGCACACAGCTGTCACAAACATGCGCTCCATTTCTTTAACTCTCATCCGAATGTTTTTCATTCCAGTTGAAGTGTCCTTATATGATGTTTTTGTTACATAAGTGAACTTCCATCCTGAAACTCATAGTGACGCTTGGATAAGGAAAAATACAACTGCAGTAGTTCTGAAATTTCATAACATATGAGCCAAATCTTATGACTTTGACAACTGGTATAGAAGTTTGATCTAGTTTTGACAAATATGGGACCTTTTTTTTTTTTTTGCCTCCGAGATGTATGTTTTCTGCTCTCTTGCCGCCTGTGGAGGGGCCTAGATCTTCAAAAGGGGGAAAAATTGATTGATAGCTTATAACAGGAAAATATAATGTGATATTTCTAAAAAGCTTGTCTAATGTTAGAAAATGGGTCACTTAAATATGAAAATCTCTTTTATGTCACTCTTACTTCACAGAAGATGATAGTAGAAGATTTCAGAACTTCACCGGCTGTCGAAAATGACAGAAACTGCAGCTGTACATTTGGCTTGTGGAAGTTTAATTATCTGAGATGGACTCTTAGGAGCAGCAAGAGTTTCTGTGACTGAGGGGATTTGTAGGAAGACAACCAGTGTAGAGTTAATTCATAGATACATTTTGTAAGTAGAATATTTGCATACTTTCATGAACATAAAACAGTCTAAATTTCTGTTGGAAATGTTCTGTTATGACCACTGATCGATCTATCTATCTATCTATCTATATGATCACTCTTTATATTAGGTGGCCTTAACTACTATAGTATGTACTACTAAGAGAATTCTCTTCTGCTCACTAAGCCTGCATTTATTTGATCCAAAATACAGCAAAATCAGTAATATTGTGAAATATTTTTACTATTTAAAATAACTGCTTTCTATTTGAATATATTTAAAAATGTAATTTATTCCTGTGATCAAAGCTAAATTTTCAGCTTCATTACTCCAGTCTTCAGTGTCACATGATCCTGCAGAAATCATTCTAATATGCTGATGTGCTGTTCAAGAAACATTTTCATTTGTTTACCAATCAGAGAATCTTAACAGGTAAAAACTATACATTATTGTTCAAAAGATTGGGGTCAGAAAAGCCTTTTATTCAGAGAAAATGCAAAGAATTTCATCTATTTAACTGCTGTTCTTTTGAACGCCATGAAAATATTAAGCTGCACCACTGTTTTCAACATTGATAATAATAAGAATATATTTCTTGAGCAGCAAATCAGTATATTAGAATGATTTCTGAAGGATCATGTGGCACTGAAGACTTTGCCAGCCCATCACAGGTATAAATTACATTTTAAAATACCTCCGAGATGTATGTTTTCTGCTCTCTTGCCGCCTGTGGAGGGGCCTAGATCTTCAAAAGGGGGAAAAATTGATTGATAGCTTATAACAGGAAAATATAATGTGATATTTCTAAAAAGCTTGTCTAATGTTAGAAAATGGGTCACTTAAATATGAAAATCTCTTTTATGTCACTCTTACTTCACAGAAGATGATAGTAGAAGATTTCAGAACTTCACCGGCTGTCGAAAATGACAGAAACTGCAGCTGTACATTTGGCTTGTGGAAGTTTAATTATCTGAGATGGACTCTTAGGAGCAGCAAGAGTTTCTGTGACTGAGGGGATTTGTAGGAAGACAACCAGTGTAGAGTTAATTCATAGATACATTTTGTAAGTAGAATATTTGCATACTTTCATGAACATAAAACAGTCTAAATTTCTGTTGGAAATGTTCTGTTATGACCACTGATCGATCTATCTATCTATCTATCTATATGATCACTCTTTATATTAGGTGGCCTTAACTACTATAGTATGTACTACTAAGAGAATTCTCTTCTGCTCACTAAGCCTGCATTTATTTGATCCAAAATACAGCAAAATCAGTAATATTGTGAAATATTTTTACTATTTAAAATAACTGCTTTCTATTTGAATATATTTAAAAATGTAATTTATTCCTGTGATCAAAGCTAAATTTTCAGCTTCATTACTCCAGTCTTCAGTGTCACATGATCCTGCAGAAATCATTCTAATATGCTGATGTGCTGTTCAAGAAACATTTTCATTTGTTTACCAATCAGAGAATCTTAACAGGTAAAAACTATACATTATTGTTCAAAAGATTGGGGTCAGAAAAGCCTTTTATTCAGAGAAAATGCAAAGAATTTCATCTATTTAACTGCTGTTCTTTTGAACGCCATGAAAATATTAAGCTGCACCACTGTTTTCAACATTGATAATAATAAGAATATATTTCTTGAGCAGCAAATCAGTATATTAGAATGATTTCTGAAGGATCATGTGGCACTGAAGACTTTGCCAGCCCATCACAGGTATAAATTACATTTTAAAATATATTCAAATAGAAAACTATTTATTTGATATTACTACTGATCAAATAATGCAGCATTTGTGAGCATTAAAGTGTACAGTGGTTTGGTTTCAGAGCCATTGTATCTTTGTATTTCTTTGTACTTTTATATATATATATATATAAAAAATCCTAACCCAGCATTTTGTTTACATCTCCTAAAGGTAAAGTCTTCTTCCAAAAGATATAATTAAAAAGGCCTACACTGCCGCTGTAGATTATTATGTTTTTATAATAAAACAGGAATGATTCTTGTATAGAAATAGAAGGGCCCCCTTAGGCCGGAAAACACATGCTCTTCTTGTTCTAATACAGAGGTGAGTCAGAGACAGTTTTCTACCTCTTGTTTTCCTTTGTCTGAATACACTTCAACCCAAGAGAACAGCTGCTCTAAATAGAACTCAAAACTGAGTTCTCTCATAACATCTGATGCACATTAATACTTCTGCCAATAGCAGTGAATGTGAATTCTGAAGTCCAGCATACCTGCAAAAAAAAAAAAAAAAACTTAAATTCATTTTAATCATTTAACTTTAGTCATTATGAAAATCAACACTAAATTTTTTACTAAAGTGTTGATGTTCTGTACAATGTAATGAACAATGTTCTTCAGATTAAAATATTCCCACTATCTATACCAGACAGAATATGCCCACATGTCTGATTAAAGCTAGGGACACATCTTGAGTCCTTGTTGAAGTTCCACTATAGATCAACTATTTTTAACCACGGTTTGAAAACGTCAATGGCTGGGTGACTGAGGATCAGCCGCTGAGGTATCAATGAGATTACAGGGACACTCACACCTTTTCTCGGTTCATCTACTTTCTCAGCCATATATGATCTTGTGCAGTGTGGTGTCAATATCACTGAATAAGAACTGAAAGTGATGAGAGAACATCAATTTAGTAAGTGAAGCTCTTCATCATTCCATAAACACCATGAAGATCTATGTATGCAGTAGCTGAGAAGGTAAAGAGATGGAAGGAGAGAGAAAGTTTCACTCAGAAAGGCTTACATTCTTGGTTGTGGCTGTAACAGGCAGTTATGCACAGCACACTCTAGTGATTTTGTGGTCTGTTGGTTACTGTGGTGTTGTGTAAATACGTATTTTAGTAGTAGTAGTAGTAGTAGTAGTAGTAGTAGTAGTATTAAGGCAAAAGAATAAAACACAAAATAATTGTTTTATAAATTTAAGGACCAATAGACTGGTTAAATATCACCAGGACCCAAAATGTTATTATTATTAAAATAATAATAAAATGTTGTTTACAATGCAAGAACATGTTGCAAAGTCAACAAGAAACATACTGTATTTATATATATATTTACTAACATGTTGTTACAAACCCATATTTCTTTTCTTTCTTTTTATTCTTTCTTTTCATACAGTGAAAGTAAACAGTAACTGAATCTTTCATTCAAACTAACATTCCAGCATTTTCCATCATGGACGAATGAAAGTCGCATGGGTTTGGTTGGAACAACATGAGGGTATGAGGGTGAATTTTCTTTTGTGTGTGTGTGTGTGTGTGAAATAGCCCTTTAAGCCACTTAAAATGTATAAAATATAAGCTTATTATTTAAAACAAGCCAAAAAAAAAAAAAGTGTATCTGTACGCTTGTGCTTTCATAAAGAAGATGACACTTACATTTTTATTATGTAACGCAATGGCATTCATACATTTTTAGGTTTGGCTTTAGGGGCCTCCATATACATAGAAGTAATCATCTTATAGTATAATGCATCTGGATTCTTGGGAGTAATTCCCCACCTGTCCAGCACTCATGAATTAAATATTTGATACAGTTCCCAGACATCACCTTACAGCACCTTATTGTTCCCTGTCCAAGACATGTGTGAACTCACGTTCTCCTGTGTGTGTCCTACCCTAACCCATACTTCAATCCAAACATTTTAAGAACAGGTTAAACCAGATCTAGAAAAGCAAGAAAGAGTTAAAAGCCAAAAACAGAAACACTACCTCACATGCTTTAAGGCACAGAAAGACACACCAAAATAAACAAACTTAATACTAATCCAAATGCATGAAATGAATATCATCATGATAAAGATTATTCTGAAAGCATCCAGCCACAACACCTCTATGGTGACAAGTTTATGTTGATTTTTTAAATAAAATGTAAAGATTTAGTTTTATGGTACATTTATGCAGAATGTTGTAAAAGCAGGTAATTCGTAGAAGATCTTACCATCCTTATATTCAAACATAAAGGGTGATTTGCTGGTTTATAATAAAGCTCTAGGGACATTTATGTATCCAGTGTCACATCAAGAAATTATACTCCATTATACTCCTAAACTCCACTTGTTTATTTTTCCTTTATTAGATAAGACATAATTATAATAATTTACACCCGAGGCCAGAATAGCTTACAAAATAAATATTAGCAAAAGGTTGTTTTAAAAAATACAATTTAGGAGAACATGAAAAGACTGGAATGTCAATCTATCACATAAATTATTATTGATGCACTAAATGTTAAATGCCATTTGTTTGAGTAAATGTCATAACATTGCTTAAAGATGCAGTTCAACAATTATATGTGATGTCAGATGAGTAATGCAGATTAAGGGCAGACGTTTTAGAAGGATTTCCATCTGATGGCTGAGAAAATTGTGTGGATGACATACAGTAAAGTGGTGAAAAAGGAAAACACCTGAAATTAAAGAGACATAAATAGTCACTATACACTTCAACAAGTAAAATGCGCAGCTGCTATTTTAAAATGTTGGGCCTATCTATTGTAGTCGTGTTATCTGTTAATAAAATAATTATTTTATTTGTTACCACATAAATCACATTTAGGCTTCCTCAAAAGACATGTTTAATAATTCACATATTCAAGATTATTCAGAATCTCCAGTTTATCAAAAGTAAAGCTAAATGCCTTTTTGTTTACAGACTTCACTAATATCGTCATATGGCATTTGCGTTTAACAGGTAAACCAGTGCTTTATAGACTTGGAATGATTTTTGATTTTTAGCTATAGGGACTTACCACGGCAGCTACGTCCAGCTTGTAAATAAGTGCGTCTCTGCCAACTGTTACATCCCAAAAAATGGTTATGTAAGCCAGAAGCACAGAGGCACTGAGATAGAGGAGTGCTGCAAATCCATGGTATGCTACATCCTGCAGAGAGATCATTAAAATATATAAGAAAATGTGTTTTGTGTCTTCATGGGGAGAGAAAGAAAAGCAGTTGAAGTACAAAGAGAAAGTGGAAAGGAATTAGACAAAGAGAGAGATTATGAACTTACCGCACTTGCCCAAGAGCTTCTGTTATGATGAGACCCACAGACAAAGATCAGCAACCAGAGGAATGTCATGACGAAACAGAAAATTGCCACGGAGATAACGTATGCCTGGGGGTTGTAAGGTAAGAGGTACGTAGATGCTACCAGGCTCAAAACCAGACCGCCAAAGACCTGAGCGATGAGCAAAATGAAAGAAAGTAAGTTTCACTTACAGAATCCCTCTTTATTCCTGGAGTTACAGAGCTTGCAGATAGTTGTACAGGAACATGTATATTCAAATGAATAAAAAATTACTACAGAACTCTTGTTCCCCTATAAACATCTTTACAAATGAAACTCTTCCTGAAATATCAAACTCAAAACATTGGATATAAGAGAAAACAATGACATTAAAGTATAAAATAGATTTAAAAAATGACATTTTCTGATATTTACCAGTAATATTTTCCTGTTGAAAACTTCTGAAAATGTGTGTACTTTTATATATATATATATATATATATATATATATATATATAC